AAAAAAAAAAAAAAAAAAAAATGATGAACTATTGAACTCGATGACTTCTCTACAACGAAAACATAAGTGCTTTTTTGACCAGTTAATTCTAGCTCAGTAACGCGCGACTTACAAAACTGATAGCTGGCTTCACTTTCTACAGAAGCAATTTTATGAAACATACAAAAAAACCAAGGTAAAAAGTACTCAAACAATGGTTGCAGTTTTACCCTTCCTATTCGCTGCGTCTTTATAATAATCCAGTAAGGCCTCCATGTGTGGATCAGTTTTAGCGGTAGTAATTTTTGACAAAGACAGGCTACCGGACATTAGAATGCCAGAAGTACTCCGCAGTGACGACGTGTAAGATGGTGGTGGCAGCCGATGATTAGGCGAAGAACGCGCTGGAGAAATAGGATTATATTTCAAAGAAATTTGATGAGGCGATCCATTTCGAGTCACTGCTCCAGAAGAATACGGTTCAGGAATTTCATAAGGTTTACTAAAAAATTAATTTGCAACACAAAACCCGAACCCCTACGTATGAAAGTGCTCCAAAAAAGCTTAAGTCTGTAAAAAAGCAAATAAAACATATTAGACAATATCGAGATGCCACTAAAAATGACAAAAAACAAGTAGGCCGCCCAAAACTCGGCAGTTTTTTACCTAGATTCAACTCCTCCGTTCTGAGAAACTGGAAAAGTGGTAGTAATTCTTGGGGTCGTTAACGGAGAAAGCCTCGAAAGCAATTGCGAGCCGCTCGGTGCTGTCAGTTTTTCGCATTCAAGTTGGCCAACATTGACCACTTTACTACTCTCGACCCTACCGTTGACAACCATCTGCTGATCTCCTTGTATCTTCGAACACAAACTCTGCCTTCAGTGAAAAACAGGTAAAACTATTTTTTAGAAAAAAACTATAGTCATAGTAAGTGGTTTCAAATGCAAAAATCCAACCTATTTCTAGTTGCCCTCCTATCTAGACTAGATGTACTTAGACCATCCGTATAAGAGTAAGACGAAGATAATGCTGAATGACGCGGCATCCCAACAGCGTGAATGTTTGTACCATGGCGTGGGAAACCACTGGGAACTACCCGAACTGGTTTATAACCATTTACAGAAGAGCTTTCTAGTATATGCCGCCCATTACCGCTGCCACCAGGCTGCCGCATTCTTGACTGTTCGTTACCATCAAATTTGTTTAAACCCTGAATAGCAACGCTCTTCATTAAAAAATCAAAAATTAAAACAACAAGACGCTTCGTCACCTATATAGAAAATAATAATAAAAGTTTTACTTGTTCTACTGATCGACAGCTCCACGATCTACCCTCTTGACCGGGCTTAGCTTTAGAACTGTATTCCAAACCACCCAAATCTTGAGTCTGCGGATGACTAGAAGTACTATGTACATCTTTAAAATTGTCATAAATCCCGTTCTGAAACGGCAAATTGTGCTCTGATTGAGCTCGATGCTGAGATCTTAACTGACTCGGGTCCTGAAAAGATTTC